AGCACTTCTCTACCGTAACATTAGCCTACTACTAGTAAATTAGAACACCCCAGTACCGTTCATGCTTTTTTATGTTTGTGTCAACAACCCAGCATGTAATCATTACAACGGTGTATTGATTGTCGCGATATGTTTATGTTTGACGAAGTTACGAAAATGTTTACACTGGTCTATGCACCGCGATATATCACGCGATGTTTTTGCGAGTTAACTCGTACGTAGTGAATCAGGTCACGTATAAAGCCCGAGTTAACTCGTACTCAGCACGCAAAGGGTTGACCATAAATTACTGCACTCTGTACTTCGAAACTCAAATCTATGTGCAACTCCTTAAAATAAATAAGCAAAATAAGCAACCGCAGTTTCAGAAATGCCAGAAGCAGGACCAACTACAAGCTCTTTCGGCTTCAGCATTAAGTTTAGACACCCAACTTTCACCAGTGGCAGTGTTCATGCATGCTTGCCAACTACAATTACGTACCGATACTGTTCAGTACTTCTATCAACCAACCGGTATCACTGAAGAAAAAAACCGAATGCATCGCCACAGAACTCGTTTGTGCGAGGAACATCAAATCACCACAGTGGTAATTCTCGATAAAAGTGTCAGCACCGACGCAATCCACACAGTCAAGTACAGCCAGTCTAGTAAAAAAGAAAGAAAAAAAGTAAATTACCGTGTCCGTTCCCGAAGTGAACTCACGACGGCCGCTAACACCCGGTAAACCCTAGCGGCAGATGCGGCGCCTAACGGTGGGGGTGAATGGATAAGTCTCACAACCACCAGTCTAGCACTAGTAACCAAACGTTTTCGTTCCCTAGGCCCTTCTCATCATGGGTAAGTACGGGGAACAATGGAAAAAAATGTCAAAATACAGCAACTCATAGATAGGTGTTGGCGGATAATGCTCGGTAATATGGGATATAATGCTCTCAGTAATGCTCCACAAAAGGCCATATAATGCTCCAAAAAATGCTGATAATGCTCCGCCGGATGGAATATAAACACCTGAACCTTGCGGTATTGGGCTAAGAAAAACGCTATAATATTGCACCCATGCTATGATAAACACATACCGGTAGTACAATATCAGGTATACATGTACGTTAGGTTACAGGTACAAACACAGACAGTCATAATTGAGGCGGCACAAAGAGGATACGCCAAGAAGGACTTCTTGGCCAGCTTCTGCCTCTGAGTTTCCCTCTCCAAACGGGACTTTCCTTGTTTATGTCTCGCGGTAGCAATATGGGACATGATTATACTCTTCTTCCCTGACAATGTTGTATGGCATGCCAGGCACACTAGTACCTTGCCACAGTCGCTTTTGAGCGGCTCATCTGGGAACTCCCGCACCCGTGTTTCGGCACTGATGGCCACTTCAGTGCTCTGTCCATGAGCTACTCGCGTCTTTTTGGAAACATTTTCAGACTTGGTAATAGCTGTTTTCTGAAAAGACCGCTTCCTCGCTATCGCGGCGGCAGGATCTGCAGTTTCCAACTCGAAGACGTCACTATCCGCCAAAAGCTCATCTGGAGAAAGCCCAGCTTCCTCCCAATCCCAAGAACGGCATCGCGGCGAGTCAGCCATCAGCGTTGGCTGCTAGTTAGCTGGTCTTACACAATTGTCAATGTCCGGTGAAAGTCCAGCGTTACTCTTCGACATTGACTCTTGCTTCGATGAAGAATGCTTTTTGTAACATTGTGGACGGTAACCGGGTAAGTTCTGGAATGTGTGCATGTGCGCACCTCCACCGTTCCATGCTGGTTCACATTTGTTTCGTTGGTTCGGCGTTGTTACCAGGTTACCTGGATCTTCAAAAGTTGCTGGCCGAAGATAGACTTCCGGGACCGGAAGTTTGGAGTCGACGGGATCTCTCTTCCGACGTTTCCTGTGACCGGCGCTGACTCGCCCGTAGCAAGAGTACATAAACCAACAAAAAAAGTACTCTTGCTTGTAGTAATACATCGCGTATATATGTTGCTAAGGGGCCGTCCGTAAATATCGATGTTTTTTTAGAGACGATATTGGTGCTTCTCTCCCTTGACCCCCCCCCCCCCCCCCTCCCCCCAGAAGACGCACATGTACATCTAGATCATGGAATCAATATTTTTGGATGTAGCCAAAGCGGCTACGCTCGGGCTTGAATTTTTCAAATCCTTGTTCAGACAGTGAAGACTGGAAACTCTTGTGGAGTTCGTCCGGCCGTGTTTGTTCGCACTGCCTCTACGTCTTGAAAAATGTCTGCTGCAGGCATCGGTTGGCCGATTTCCACAATCAATAGCTCATTCTTTTGCTCTTGAAATTCGCCATGGGCGTACAGCTTCCAATTTTTGATTTTGTTCTTGTGTCGCGAGTTTTAGCTCCGCGAACGGAAGCTGGTTTCACATTTCTTGTATAGCCATTTAGACGTCCGCGTGCAGGGATCGGCGAAACTTCAGATATTTACATCGATATTTTTCTGATGCTCGAAAAGACGCACATGGCTCAAACCCCCTCCCCCCCCCCCCCCCCAGACGCACCAATATCGTCTCTAAAAAAACATCGATATTTACGGACGGCCCCTAATCAAAGACCAACGCTATAGCCGATAAAAATCTGTACATGACGAATTGACGATGTGTGTAGATCTACTATGCAGTCATGTAGAACGTCGTATAATGCCATTTTTGGCCTCGTAATGCTTTATAATGCTCGTAATGCTCCGGGTGGTGTATAATGCTCGATATAATGCCGGCATTATCCGCCAACACTACTCATAGAGCTACAGCCAAAGGCATACAGTCATGTGTAGATCAAGAACCTTACGCTCAGTATACATGTGGAAAAAATAAAATTCAGCTGAACAAGTCAAAAACGAGGTGAAGGTGAAGAAATGACTAGAACATAATGATGAAAACATCAATGAGGAGCAGCATTCCTGACATATTGCTGCATTCCCTGTACTCATGCTGAGAAGGGAACGAAAACGTTCGGTATTGTAACGTAGTATGAATAGCCTATTAAACTTTTATTTTTATTTTTTTATAGCCTATTAAACTGGCTTTACTTGACTGCGTGGATTGCGTCGGTGCTGACATTTTTTCGACAATTTTTAAAGCCTCTAATGTTTTTTTCCTTTTTCAGTGGTAATTATATGAATAATGTGACCAACGAAACTTGAGTGTAATGTGGCCGGGATACTACGGGGATGGTGATGTGATTTTGTAATGAGCCAAGATCACGTCTCTACTATGACTCTCATATCGACGAAACTACCACCGTGGGTCATTGAACAGAAAAAGCAACTAAGACTACAGATAACGAAAGTAACCCGAAGTGGTTGATATTTTTTTTTTTTTTTTTTTTTTTTTTTTTTTAGGGCCGATTCCTTTTTTTTTTTAGAAGTTAAGAGAAGTGCAAAGTAGAGCTGGAGTGCAGCCGCCAGATAGCGGACTGAAAACTACTAGTAGTAGGATGAAAAGAGCACAGACGAAGCAAATACAGACAAAACCAGAGGCAAATGGTATCAAATGCGAATGCCCGCCTCAGCAACCGCCAAGGTGGGAGGTGAGTCCAACTGCACCGGCCGAAGATTCCGGGATCCGCGCAAACACATCACGCTGGACCGGAGTAGGGCAAAACTCAATTTGCATCGAACCCAAGACATAACACAGCTGTATGCTTCTCCAGTCTTCGCGGCTTGAAGAGAAGCTATCCGCTTGTAGAGCGACTCCGCGTGTTTGCCCAAACCACCAGTGGTAGAGAATATGGCCGGAACAAACGACGAATGCTCTATGTCGCGGACACGTTGCTCGTAGCAGCGCCGCTTCTCCTTCTCGTGCTTGGTGTAGCAGGAAGCAATGGAGGTGGCGCGGTTTGAGGTCGCATGAGGATTGAAAACCCTCACATCGATGAAGGTGCGCTCAAACCG